TCTGATTAGGGATGTAACGATTCACTCAACTCACGATTCGAGTCGCAATTTTTTTTTAACAAAAGGAGATTTAAGACAAATTATAAATTAAATGTGTCCTTTTATTATTGCTTGGACAAAATGCTGCACGTTTCTTTGTGAAATTGAAATATAACACTATAATAATATACTAATATAGCACTTGTAATTTATTGCTCTTTTGTTAGTTTTGATTGCTTCTATTGTCCTCATTTGTAAATCGCTTTGGATAAAAGCGTCTTTAAAAAAACAAAATTTAAATATAATGTAATCACTGATTTCTAGTCCTGTCCTCTTTTGGAAAGCCAAACAAAGTAGTTTCGCTTTCACAACGAAACACACAGCGTCTTCACGACATGGCGGCGGCGGCAACAACAAAACTGCAGCGAGAAAAGTTATGCCTTCTTTCTTTGCGTGAACATTTGGGTGGCGTTATTCCCACATTGTGACGTAGATATGTGGGGGCGTGTTTAAACGAGGCGTTTTAGGTAGGCGTGGTTGACTCTTAAATTTTATAAAGAATATCTCTTTGGATTTGTGACTTTAGTCTTTGCAACTTTACAGATCTTCTTTATGCACCAAGAGCTTGTAACACTCAAAAGATAAAGGAAAAATTTTAATCGCATCACATGACCCCTTTAAAATTAGAGGCAACCACTGCATTTTAATCATGAGCCAAACAAAGATGCTGCATACATGCAACATGAGCAGTTTTTAATCTAAATTAGATTGTATAATTTCGAAATTGGAAGCAAAAACAGAATGGTTTGACTTTTGTGAAACTATGCATAAAAAATATCTGTATGAAACAGAAACAGCAGACGAGCTGAATGAGACACAGATTCACTCTCTGCCAGCAGGTGGCGCTTAAAGCATTTCCTTGGTTTCCGCTGTAAACAAAGCAGCGTTGCACTTATAAACTTTAATATGCGTTATACAGAGGCAAGATGAAAAGAAAAAATACCATCTACACTTTTCTAAAGACAGTAAGCTCCCCTCAGACATACATTCATATAAACTCAAATGAATCGCGATTTGTTTAGCATCTCAACCAGTTTGAATCGTCACATATTTAAATCGATTTTCAACCGGCTCGCGGTTAATCGTTACATCCCTAGTTCTGATGATGGATAAGTTTAATTAAAGAGCCTGAGACCCCCAGAGTCTGATGTGGACATCTCCTCTCCCTCCTATGATGACTGAATAGAACTTTATAGAGCTCAGGCCAATCAGAACATCTCTGCAACATGCTGACACGGACACTATAAAACACGGAGGATGTCTGAGTTTGATGGTGTCAACCAATGTCACGTCACCCAAGGGCAGCACTGTCTGCTTTCTGATGAACACTTTGTTTGTGGGCCATACGAGTTCAGCTGCTGTAAGACATTTCTGTGGCACCAAATGAACCTACAAACTCTCAAAACTCCCATCTGCTATTGTTCAGCTCAGCTCATTAAAGACAGTAGAACAAATACTATGATTCCATAATGTTTAAATACTTTAATTTATATGATATATGTACTACTGTGCAAATATTTGGTCTGTAAGATTTTTATTTTCAACTTTTATTGAACAAGAATGCATTAAATTGATAAAAAGTGACAAAACTTTTGTAACGTTATAAAAGACTTTACTATTTCAAATAAATGCTGTTTTTTTTAACTTTACATTCATCAAAAAACCCTAAAAAAACTATCACAGTTTCCATTAAAATATAAAGCAATACAATTGTTTCAACACCAATAATAAGAAAATCAGCATACTAGACTGATTTCTGAAGGATCATGTGACACTGAAGACTGGAGTAATGATGCTGAAAATACAGCTTTGATCACAGAAATAAATTACATTTTTAAATATATTCAAATAGAAAACTGTTTATGATCAAATACATGCAGCTATAGCTACTATCCTCAAACTTTTGAATATTAAATAAAAATAAATTAATAAAAAAATGAATTAAATGTAATATTGCATAACTTTTTTTAGTACTGTCAAACGATTGATCGCATCCTAAATAAAAGTTTACATAATATGTGTGTGTGCTGTGTATATTTATTATGCATATATACATGCACACAAATACAGTATATATTTTGAAAATATTTACATGTATATATTTATATTCATATAATTTATATTGTATATAAATATATTTAATATATAAACATAACATATTTTTCTTAAATGTATACATACATTTGTATGTATTTATATAGGCATAATTAATATACACAGTAGACACACATTATGTAAGCAAAAACTTTCCTTTTGGATACGATTAATCACAATCGTTTGACAACATTACTTTTTTATATATTATTTTTTATTAGTTTACTTTAACTTTTTTTTGACTTCATGCAAATTACCTTTTCGTTTCTATTAGTCTTTTAATTCATGATTATACTGTCATTGAGACAAGCTTGACTTCTGAGGACAACTATTTCAGTGTCACTTGTCAGGTAGTGTCTTTTATGCATGATACTTTACTTATTTTATGCATAAAATAAAGAATCTGGGTGAACGTGTTACTCTACGTTGGCCAGAAAGTGACCGTGTTCCGCTGGACAAAAGCACTAGATGTTGCACATTTAATTCCCTCTGTCATTCTCAGCCCATCACTCCGCAGCCGGCCATCATAACATCTCTAAATGAGCCTCTGCCCATGTTTCTACCCCGCTGCGCTTTGCTCGATTCCTTGTACTTTCCTTTATTTATGAATCTAACAGAACTCCTCCATTTCATGCATCTTCAGTTGGCTGTACTTTCTGTGTGAGCATGGTTTTTTTTGGCTCTTCCAGTACACTCACACACGCTTCAACATGAAGCTCGTACTCCAGGTTTCAGATCTACTGCTGGCCCAAAAACACATGCCCACAAACACACACTTGAAGCACCACACACGGCTCTGGCAGACTCAGGAAAGAAGGGAGGCAGATCCATGTGGTCCCACAATCTGTTGCCTCCGGATCACAACGTGGCAGGGAGACACCAGTAAACCCATCAGATCCAGCTATAGCTGCCGTCTACACCTTCCTCACTGGAGCTTATGCTGCATTTCAGTATCAACTGGATCTCAGATGTTTCTCCTAAAACATCGGGTTAATTGCACCAGTAAGGGTTAAGCTTGAATCTAGATTAAGTCAGGGTTTATAAATCATAATTTTTATCCTGGTTTTGTCAAATTTAAGCTTAAACCTGTTGCTCCATTACTTTGACCTTACACTGCAATCTCATTTAGTGATTAACTTTAAACCTGAAGGTGAGGAGGAATTGATTTTGGTCTGAGTTGAATTACTGAAATAAATGAACTTTTCCACGACATTCTAATTTATTGAGATGCACCTGTAATTCTGTTGCACCACTTGTTTAAAAATAAGCTTACATTTAAATCATAATTTTTATCCTGGTTTTGTCAAATTTAAGCTTAAACCTGTTGCTCCATTACTTTGAACTTACACTGCAATCTCATTTAGTGATTAACTTTAAACCTGAAGGTGAGGAGGAATTGATTTTGGTCAGAAATGTTGAGATTTCTGACATTTGATTGCAGACTTCAGTGTCTTGGCAAAAGCCAGCACAGAACTCTGACATGCTGATGAGATAATTGGAGACTTATTCATAGGAGAAACATCTGAGAAGCACACAAGACAAAACAAACCTCTCCATTTAATCTCACTGCTGCCTACTGAGAAATTAAAAAGGTATAAGAGCTGTGTACAACATTACAGGTTATTAAATAAGTACCGGCACAGGCAATTTCATAAGCAAAACAAATATCTCTATTTCAAACACCTGGGTGAATCGTACAAAAAGTCTGTCCAGGTCACAATATTATCAGAATTATTAACAAAATTATTAAATGATTCAAAAAGATAAAGTTGTTTGACAATGTGATATCATGATAACAATTTACCACCAAATTCTTATCACTTATCAATATGGCCGAAATGTTCAAAATTTTACAATACAATTTTAAAATATTTAAAATTTACAATTCAATTTTATTTATTATTATTATTATTATTATTATTATATATAATATATTTATCTATTATAATTTTGCTATAATAATAAAATCATAAATGTTGGTTTATATTTAATGGTAACATTTTATTTTATTATTATTCTATTATATTTTAAAATTTAAAGAGCATATTTATTATTATCTTTATAATTTTGTACATTATGGTAATAATATTTTTTTTTGCGTTATGATAATACTTTTTTTTAAAGTAGGGCCTTAATTGTTTAATTAATCGAAAATAATGCCACAAACAAAATTACAAAATAAAATACATAATTTATATAATTCTATAAAATATATTTATAATAAAATATATACCTGATTTTAAAAAAATCTCACAGTTTGCTGTGCTTGTTTACAGACTAGTGCTGCATAATTTGGCCAAAAATTGTGTGATTATATAGAAATGTGGCTATAAAATAATAATAATAATAATAATAATAATAATAATAAGAAGAAGAAGAAGAAGAAGAAGAAGAAGAAGAAGAAGAAGAAGAAGAGTAATAAGTATAAAAATACTCGATACAATATTTAAAAAAATACTATTGTAATATTTATGGTATTGAGAATTTGATTATTTTGGCATTACAATAATGAGTTTTTTTAGTGTAGGGACTTAATTGTTATGAAAATAATGTCACAAACATATATAAACCTTTATATAATAAAGCCTTTTTTAGCACAATTAAGATAGAAATATACACGCACACATACATAGAATAAAAATATAGCCTAGCATTTAAATATAAAACATTCAAACATTGAGTTTGATTGATTTAGGTGTGAAATATGACAGGGTTTGTGAGATCTGTATACTCTCTCACACACAAAAGCTCACGTGCACATACATCCTGATAATAAATGATGATTTATCCTTTATCACGCATGCTAAAGTTGACCCTCGCTGCCCACAAGCACACAGAGAAATGTAGGAAAGACACAGGCTACTCACGGTTATAGTGGGGATAGCAGCTACCAGAGAGTACACGAGCACCGGCGGTACGTTACTCCTCTCCTCCGGTCCAGGGTACGGTTTGGAGAACGCCTTGTCGAAGCAGAAGAAGCCCTGGACGTGCACGGGAAAGGTGTCCGTGTATTCGAAGTAGTACGCCAGGAGAACGGTGCCTGCCATGATCACCAGCTGAAAATAAAACATGATCCACGCTTTACAACCACAGAACAAGATGCTCCGCCACACTCAGAGACACGCGCGCGTCGTGACACTGAGAGCGTTACATGCTGCTCCGCGAGGAAAGCCGCGCGGAGCGAGCGAGAGGAGAGAGGAGAGAGGAGAGAGGAGAGCGGAGGACCGGCGCGGGGAGGGACAGCGTGAGCTGGACACAAATTGGCTCAGCGGAGCGTTGTGTGTCCGTGTGCACGAGAGAGACATTTTGGATGTGTGTGAAACACAACGAGGGTGTGAACGCGCTCATTAGCGACTTTCAAAAGCAGCTCGCCTTCATTCAAGACACACTGTGCTTCTCATTCAACCTTCAAAACACATAGATGCAAATTAACTACTGATATATGGTGACCCCAAAGGGTTTGAGGTACACTGAGAAAAATTTGGTGTGGAAACAATTTTCACTCTGAAATTTCGCACACAGTTACAAAGCAACGGCAAGCAACACATTGAATTATACGTCAAAACACATAGATGCAAATTAACTACTGATATATGGTGACCCCAAAGGGTTTGAGGTACACTGAGAAAAATTTGGTGTGGAAACAATTTTCACTCTGAAATTTCGCACAGTTACAAAGCAACGGCAAGCAACACATTGAATTATACGTGATATTTTGCGATATTCTGTTTTATTTCCTTTTTTTTTTTTTTTACAGTGTACGGCTGCATGATTTGGGGGGTTTAAAAATGAAATGAAATGATTTTTCTGATAAAAATGTGTGATAAAAAAATCATGTTTGCTGTGCTTCTTTGTATACGGCTGCATATTATAGGCCTATATCAATATGGCTATAATAAAGATGATAATAATTGCTACTACTACTACTATTAGGCCTACTACTAAATAAAACTATAAAAATGGCAAAAAACAAACAAAAATATATTATAGGCCTATATCAATATGGCTATAATAAAGATGATAATAATTGCTACTACTACTACTACTATTAGGCCTACTACTAAATAAAACTATAAAAATGGCAAAAAACAAACAAAAATACTAGTACCGTATTGACCCGAATATACGAGTGTGCCATGAAATGCGTAATGTAATGCGTGTTGTAGATCGCGAGTAAAAACAAAAGAAAAAGAAAACCTTACAGCTGCATGAGTCGTGACTGTCACGTTAGCCTGATGGGACCAAACTCCCTTTGTGATTTTAAACCGTAAGACAGTACCCAGATTTGAAGACTACAGTAAGATTTAACTTCTACTGTTAATAAGATTTTGGTTGGCTACTATTAGATGGATAGCCTAAATGTCCTAATTCAGATGGGCTACCTGTTTTTTGTTTTTTTTAAATGGTATATCAAAAAGTGTATATTTTTTAAATGTGATTGTTGGTACAGTTTACCAGTTTTTACCATACTTTCAAAACAAAAATTAAAATAGGAAAAATATGCTATATGAAAATAATTGAAGACAAAATGTGTTTTACTGAGAACAAACAAGATTTGGTTTTTAAAAAGCCTTTTTTCCAAAAGGTACATCTGGAAAAAGGGGGGTCGTCTTATAATCAGGGTCGTCTTTTATATTCGGGCCAATACGGTATTATAATATTTTACCGTAAAATAAAAACAGTATTTTGCAAACAATTACAAAGAAACGGCAAGTAACATTCAACTAAACATTCATTTTTGAAGAAAAACTTAAATAGTATTCCAAACATACCGCAATCATTGCTTTATTTAAAACAATGAAAAAAATATTACAGGATAGGGCTGCTTTTTCTAATTATGATTATTCTGATATAAAATAGTGATAAAAAAAGGTTTATTGTGCTTGTTTATAGAGCTGCGTAATTTGCGGTTATATAATGATATAGCTGAATAATAATAATTAATACTACTAAATAAAGCTATAAAAATTGCTAAATAAATATTACTATATTTCACTGCAAAAGAAAAAAAGTTAAGAAAATTTGTATAAAAATAATAATTATATTTGACATTACATCTGTAAAATTTCTAATATTTAGGGCTGTCTTAATTTCTTCATTTTCAAACATTAAACCACCAAACTTTCATTTTGAGGAAATCCGCAAAACCTTAAAGCTTCTCTGTTGTTGATTTTTAAAAAATGTTTTATTACACATATGGAAGAATGCTGGCCTGTTTCACATTCCCAAATGCACATTAAAGCGACACAAACTTAGATCATATGCAGAAATGGGCAGCATTTACTGTGAACCGACTCACTCAGAGATACTGAAAACACTGAATCATGAGCTGCTCATGTGTAAATGAACACAGTGCCACGCTTCACTCAGAGAGGGGCCATTTACACAACAACGTTTTCAGCCAAAAACGGGAAACTTTTTATGCGTTTTGACTGTTCGTTTACATGACAACGGCGTTTTGGGGACTGAAAACGCATATTTTTGAAAACAGGTTTCAAAGTGCAAGTTTTTGAAAACGGCACCATTATTGTTTCCGTGTAAACACCCAAAACGGGAATCTTTGAAAACGGTGACGTCATGCGCGTGCGTAGTACATGTTAGGCATGTAGCATGCGCAGTGTGTGTCAATTTTAAAGGCAAGCACGAACAAACATACACAATAATGGCGGAGTACATGGTATTGTTTTTGCTGCTCAAGAGCAAAGTGTGGATTTACTTCACCAATATTACAACCAACAGTGGAAACGCATCAAATACAACATTTAATCATCACTTCCCTACAGGTACTGTTTATTAGCAAGGTGACAGTGCCAACTACTGGCATGGCATACGCAATACAGTGTTTTTGGCCATTTTCGCGGATATGTGTAAACGCGAATCGTTTTGAAAACGTTGTCGTGTATACGTGAAACTTTTTAAAAACGCAAGGGAAAAACGTTTCCGTTTTTGACTACACCATTGTCGTGTAAACGTAGCCTAAAACATGCAGTGCATATATTTCTTTTATAGCCATATCACAACATCTGGATACCTAATGCACAAATGTCATTACTTTAGATGTAAAATACCAAAACACCTGTGTGAATTTGGGAGAATAGACTTCAAAAGCATTGCTTGCATGCAAAAAGCAAACATGAAAATGAGAAGTTCTGAGAAAAAATAATTATGTTATCTACTACAATGACATTTTTAACTGTGACATATGGGTTCAAATGTATTTTGGGGCCACTGTATTTGAGAATACACGGTTTTTTATTCACAAGTGCATAATACTTGTTTCCTGAGTACTTGAAGCATGAAAAATGCGCTTGGATTATTCACCCAGATCTCTCTACCCACACAGACACCCACATTCACACACACCCAAACACAAAGCCTGACCCACGTGTCAGTCAAGTATTCTCAATGCTTTTCCTGTCTCTCTTAGTTAGAAAGAGAGAAAGACAGACAAATGCTGTTGTGTTTAACTGTCATGGTGAAGAACACAACATTGCAGGGTTAAAATATTCAGCACATTTAGTTTCCAAACATAACAGCCTGAATATAATTGTAGATTATAATAATAAAATAGAAATTCATTTATTTGTATGATGTTTTTTTTTTAAAAACACACACTGTTCCAAAGCAGCTTTACATGAAATATAAACATAAAGAAGATAAAAGGACAAGATCTTAGTTTCGGTGTAGTGCAATGCTGTATGTGTCCACCAGGGGACAGACTGGAGCTTTAAGATGATTAGTTGTGCTTGATGGGGCAAATATCACTATTGCTATTGCTCATATTTAGAGTGAAACTTGAGCAAACCCCTAACCATACGTAACTGTAAGTACTGTACTTTGGTGAATAACTGTGCTACAAAAATTAATAATACCTCACATTGTGTGATTTGAGGTTATCAGAGTTATCGGAGTTATGATTTTGGACAATAAAATAGGCCAAAATTAAATTAACAAATAAATGTGATATATACATATACATATCACGAGTATGTGAACACAAATACCACATGTAGCATATAACATGCACATCTGATCTTCCATCCATTCATTCATTCATTCATTGGAAATATTCAGCTCAAATTTTAAAATAGTATCTCACTGGAACATGCTGCTTTTATTTGGCATGAGTTCGTGAAACGATCATTAAACACACTGTGCCAGAATCACTCTGTGGCTCTGTGTTCACTCAAACAGTGTAATTAGAGAGCGGGGGGAGGAGGAATATTCCATATGGCAACATGTTTCTCCACAGCCAGCAAAATTCAACATTACTCTGCTGTCATCTCTCAGTTCTGGATAGTTTAGCTGGAGTTCAAATCAGTCTAAAATGTATCGTGGAAACATGACTGTACCAAACCCATATAAAGAGCGCATGTGCTGTGGAAGACATGAGCAAAAGAAGACGGGTTAATGTGTGTCATGCATAAGAGTATTTAATCTGTAATATATGCACTTCTCTATTGTGGAGCATACAGCAAACAAGTTGAGACAGATCAATAGAGACCGCCGCCGTATTAACCACAGCATCACCGTAAGCAAAGCTGACAGGCGACTCCACGGTTTGGAGAAGCGCTGCGGAGGACACGCTCGATTGTGTTTGGAGGAGAGCGGAGCGAGGACAAGATTCATCGCTGTCATAAATTAAGGATGACAGAAGTGCTGTAATCTCGGGAAGAACGTGGTGAACCAAAGATCCGTTTCAGAGCCTGTTTGAGAAGGTACGACTCCTCAGAGCACTCTGACCTCTTTCCGATTCAGGGTTCAAGAGCGGCGTGCATACAGTACATTAAAAAGCTAGACAGAAGTGCATACAGATTTAATTTATACTGCTTTTATTTATTTATTTATTTTAATTTATTATTATTAACACTATTTATTCTTATTTTTATTTCTAAAAATAAAAGGATTTTTTAATTTGAATATATTTTAATTATAATTTATGGTGTTATTATTTATAATATTTTATTTATATTCATACTATTTTTATTTGTATTTATTAATAATAGTAATATCTTCTATTCTCATTTCAAAGATGAAATACATTTTTACTTGAATATATTGTATTAATATTTATTATTTATATTGTTATCATTAACGATATTAATTATGTTCATTCTATTTTTATTTTAAAAATCATGTAAATGCATTTCATTGTAAAATATTTTATTAATATGTTATTGATAATAAGAATAATACATATTGTTTTATATGCATTTATATTACTTTTTTATATATGCTTTCTTAATACATGCTTTTATGCTTAATACATGCTTATATAAGCTTTCTTAAAATATATCAAATTTCAGTTATAGCTTACAAAATGATGGTAAAATATTTTATTAATATGTTATTGATAATAAGAATAATACATATTGTTTTATATGCATTTATATTACTTTTTTATATATGCTTTCTTAATACATGCTTTTATGCTTAATACATGCTTATATACACTTTCTTAAAATATATCAAATTTCAGTTATAGCTTACAAAATGATGGATGGATGGATGGATGGATGGATAGATAGATATGACTCATAATCTCAGTGTCATTCAAATGTCTTGGCTCTAATTGGGCCTGAAATCAGTCTGGTCTTTCAGAGTATTTTTAGAGTTGTCTCTCTTCATGCTGGCAGACACTGAAGGCTGTCTAGCCATTTGAGTGACAGCTCATCTCTCCTCTTATTCATAGCTCATTACGGGCCTTTTATTCTGCCTGATGAGCAGAACCAAACAGCACCAAAGGACGCCATGTACCTTATACTTGCACTGTGTGATGATGAATGGATGCAAAAATATGATCTTTAATGCAATCAGTCTTAGCTGCTCTCCACAAACATCTTTAGGCAGGCAGGCTTTAGAGTTTTGGACACTTTATTAGCGGAACACCAGCTTGTTTGGGAGTTTGGGAGACCATCTTAAACCAGTTAAGACCAGTAAACCAGCAAATAAAAGTTATCAGCATATCAGTCTTGATTGAATTAGAATTTGAGCATTTACTGCACAAAACGAATAATGTTTCAACATGTTTGTTGCTGCTTCACAATTAGCGGCTTGATAAGAGCCCACAGGCGTAGATGCAGATGTGTGATCAGTCTGTTATTAGTCTGTTTCAGCACGTGCTGTAAATAAACATTATCCCGCTGAGAAGCCGCTCCAGCAAATTCAAGTCATTTAGGACGCTGCCAAGTAGTGCCGCTCTTCCTCCCTTTCCACAAGTCTTCTCTACTCTTCTTTCATCCGTCAAGAGCAACAGTGTGTCTCTGCCGTCCCGCTGTTAGTCTTCTCCTACTGAGTCAAACTGCTCAGCTCCCATAACGCTCATCAGCGACCCGCCAGTTCAAGTTTAAAAAAAAAAAATCAATTTTTATTCCTTACATTTTCCAGCGCCTTTGTAGATCTCCATGCTGCTTTTCAAAGAAGCCAGAGAAACTAGATCTGCTATCGCTCACTGCCAAAGATCGACTGATGATCAGATGTGTTACCTTTACTTTTCAAATCTTGCTTGTTTAATATTTAATGCTTTTTAAAGCACTTTTTAAACTGTTTCCCTCATAACAATGTAGCTAATATCAGGTTTTACTATCTTTGTGGATATTTGCTTACCACACAGTGGGCAAAACCAGACCCACAGAGACACACAAACAAATCTTCACATCCATAGATAAATGAATTAACAATTTCACTTCACGTTAACAATATTTATTCATTTAAATATAAACCAAACTGATGTGAACAAAGTTTGTACGGTCTTCAATGTCACTAAAGCACCTGCTGCAGTCTTGCCCCCTCTACTGGATTTTACAGGAGGTACAAAAGCTAATTTCTTCAGCGTCACAAATCTACTGAGGCAAAACTGACAATTTCATAAAAATGTAAATTCTGTCATCATATCCTCCTGAGACCCAGCTATGGAGTTTTTGCCTCTGTAGTGGACATTATATTTGAGTGAATTTCTCTGAGACCTCACACGTCACAGTTTTAAGTCTGGAGTCCTGTACAGAGCACATTCAGGGCTTTCCAGAGATACCAAATGATTGGATGTTTCCCCGAGAACACTCCCTCTCCTTGGTTTTTAAAAATGGCTGACATTAATTTAGTGATAAAATTGTACATCGTTATGGAAATATGATAATATTTTGTAATTATAATTTAAATCTGATTCATTTTCAAATTGTTTGTCATAAATCAACATCTCAGGAAAATGTTATGGGGTTTCAAATCAAAATATGACCTTCTGTTATGAAACGGGACATAATTTAATACATGTCCGCTGTAGAGGACACCAGGACTAAAATCATGTTTATTATACATTTTGGGAGACAAAAGAATTGAATAGGAAAACAAATTATATATCAATATTCTTATGAAATATTAGATATTATTATGAAAATCTGGCCAATTACTACTCCCATTATTACACTTCTTTTTTCAACATGCTGTCCCAACAGCACTTTAATATGCAAATTAGATACAGTGTATAGATAACATTGTGCTTAATGGGAAAACCAGTTTATGGAATTTTTACACACATATTGCATAAAGCAAAATAGTATATCAAATAATTTTGTTATATATTTTATAACATAGTTGATAACCATCCTTAAACAAAGTTAGGTATAAAAAAATCCTGAAACCTAAAAATTGATTGGTGATTTAAAATAAATTCCCATTGATTTTACCTTTTCATGTCTACTCTTGCCATTTTATTTTTAGAAAAACTGAGTCCTGGTGTCCTCTACAGAGGACATATCATAACTTAGGAATAAAATATAATTTTTCAAAAATGTTATTTTACCATTTTTTTCTTATGCTCTAAACAATGTAATGACATGAAAAAATACTAAATTCACAAAGCTTTTTATTTCTGGTTCTCAGGAGGATATATCTAAATTTACTGTCTTTGCCATCAACACGATACAATATCTGGGATACGGCTGAGGGGAAGATAGTCAGTGAATAATGATTTGCAGACTCACAGAAGAACCCCATCAAAAAGCTAATCAAATAAATTATTTCAATTTACATTTTTATGATTTAATTAATTATAAGATTTTCATCAGCTCACGAATCCTCTGCAGTTTCGTCATTTACCCCAGATTTGGGAAACACTGATGTAATGTAATGTTTAATGCATTTCATGATATTGATAACAACGACTGGAATATATTTATTTCTCTTTGTTTTTTTATCACATTAAAAGATAGGTCATAAGTAATCTAAAAGTAATCCAAAAAAAAAGTCTGAATACATTACTTAAAATGAGTCATCTAAATGACATTACTGACTACAATTCACATCACCAGGAACAGACTACAACATAACTGGCCGTTTTGTTTCTTTCACAATCCTAGTCTTTTGCTTCGCCTTTGCTAAAGTGAGTCATAGCAATAGTTGAATGTGCTAAACAAAAAAGGAAAGAAAAATGGCTTATCAAATATTCGTATATGCACGCTATATGCAAGAGCACAATACTGTATGTCTGTGTGTGAATGCATGTGCCTGCGTATTACTGCAAGGAAGCTGAAGAAGGAAGGAAAGAGAAGATTTACACGTGTGGGAGAGAGAGCATCTAAAAATGATATAGCAGAAGGAGGATACAGACACAGGATCCAGATCCAGCTGATTGGTAGCCATAGTAACAACAGCGGAGGCAAGTGTTGTGATGTGTTTGTGATGCACACGCAACATTAGTGCACACGAACACATGCACACAATAACACACACAAAAACAATTCAGTCCATTATCTTTCCATCCTTCAAGAAACAAAGCATGATAGAAATGTAACATTTGGAAATTAATGATTTCTTCCTTAAACAGCCTGAATCATTGGAAACCATTTCATTCCTTTAGTCAGTCATTGTTATCAGCACTGAAAACGGTGAAATAATATACGTATATATACACATCTATATATCGATAGATAGACAGATAGATAGATAGATAGATAGACAAAAAGGTTTCAGCTTGATCTGCCTCAGTGGTCTAACAGTGCTCGTCAATGTCAAAATAATTCAATCAAATCAAAGTAAGTGGGGTTACTGTTCACAGAAGCAGAGCGGGAATTCCAGCGCGAAGCGTCAGTTTAACGTTGAAAAAGAGCGTGGAAAGATGGAAGTTTCAAATAATTTAATATTAGTAATCTGTTTTACGATAGAAATGTCAAATGACCTACAGCTATATCCAGTGATGCAAATTCAGTATTGAAGCTAATTTATTAATAAAAGTCATGGGGCTCCTGAATGTTTCTGTGTGTGCGCAGTGCAATCTGCGATCTTTGTGTGTCTTGAGATATATATATATATATATATTCCGTATCAAATTCTTTATCAAATATATTGCATTTAAAATAGATTAAAATAGAAACAATTATTTAACATTTTTAAAACGGTTTTATAATTTATATTTGTTTATATATAAAGAACTGACCACATTTACTATTCAAAATTGAAAATGAAATGTATATGCATGTTTATTTTTTTTAATTCATTTATTAAAGATAATGCAGTATGTTTTTTTCAAATAGGATGAACTACGACCTGCAAAATCGCATGATGTAAAACGGATCTGATTCAATACAAAAGAAAAAGCTAGCCTCTCTTTTTATATCTTTAACAACTGTGATCATATTCATTTGAAGAAGCTTCACTTCCTTTAAGGCCATGACATAACAACCTCACATCTTTCGCTGTGAGCCCATTCAGAGTTCATAAAACATCCTGATCCAACTTGATAAAGTCTGGATTATAGTTAGGGTTAAGGTTAAGGCTGTAGGATAACTCACCTCCACAAATAGGAAACATGGTAGAATGGAGCTACTGCTCTTCACAGCAGGCTTCTCTTCTGCTGCCATTGTAGATCCCTCTTCTTTCTGCTCTGTTCCTCCTCTCACACTCCCACTTTATTCTTCTCACATGAAAGAGAAAGAAAGAACAGGTCGGGAGCTAGTAAACTCAATTAAAATAACTTAATCGTCCTTTGCACGTCTGAAGGATATTCTCCTGCATTACTACATTTAAACGCAACCCCATAACCCTATGTAGAAACTAAATATATATACAAGTGACCAGAAAAATGTCAAATCAGATTATATTAAGAGGCCAAGTTTTGTGTGACACACTTTCAAGGTTAATTTTTATGTTTATCTGTGTTTTAATATATATATTTGTATATTTTATATACAAACATATTAATAAAAAATAATCATATTAATAAAAATAAATATATTTTGTTTATTAAAATTCATATATGAATATGTATTTGAAAAGTCTAAATATACTATTTATACTGTATACACACATATATATATAATTCTTAAATACACATTTTATGTACCAATATAAAGTTATTATTATCAATAATTAATTTTATGAATTATATGAATTGTAGTAACTGATCTTAGACAAAAAAAAAACACTTCTCCAAACCTGCAACAGATAATATGTGACCCTGGAGCACAAAATCAGTCACAAGTAGCACGGGTATATTTGTAGCAATAGCCAAAAATACATTGTATGGGTCAAAATTATCGATTTTTCTTTTATGCCAAAAATCATTAGTATATTAAGTAAAGATCACGTTCCATGAAGATATTTTGTAAATGTCCTACCGTAAATATATCAAAACTTAATTTTTGATTAGTAATATGCATTGCTAAGAACTTCATTTGGACAACGTTAAAGGTGATTTTCTCAATATTTAGATGTTTTTGCACCCTCAGATTGCAGATTTTCAAATAGTTGTATCTCAGCCAAATATTGTACATCAATGGAAGTTTTGTGGTCCAGGGTCACATATTTATTATTTACATATTTAAATATGCTATTTGTTGCATTTCATGATTATTTATTTATTGTATTTCCTGTTCTTGTGTGTGCTGAACATTTTTTTTATTCCCATTGACAGTTACATGACCCAAAAAGGTTTATATAAATGGTAAACTGAAATACTACAAGACTTGCTGTTTACAATCTAGATTAGGCCGCTTATTGGGTTAAGGTAGACGTCAAATTAAGTGACTACTTTACAGAGCGCTTATGACCTACAAGACTAACTACTGAGAACAAATGATGCAACCATTTGCAGTGAGTTACAATCTAATTAACACTTACAAAGCCCCTTTACCCTAGTATTCATTTACGAACAGATGGACCCAGAACTCTCTCTAGGACCGGACTTTCATTGGTCCGTGAACCACCGAGCAGCATTTTGTCAGCAGGTCTGTTGAACATCACAGCGTAAACCTCCGAGTTCAGGACAGGGAAATGAATATCACATGAAGGCAGGCACTAAAGCTCTACGACAGAAAGCATCTAGTACATGCCTCAGCTTTTAGCGCGCCTTACGCTCACAGTGGTCAACTTTTACATCGGTCAATGTGCAAGTCCTCAGATAATGTAAAAAAACGGAGCGGCAGACCAGCATTTTTTTTAAACGTTTCCTTGATGCTGGGCAACACTGGAAGGTGTTCTAAAAAGTCTGTCAATGTGGTGTGCCGTTTTAATGTCTTTGAGGAAAAAGGAAGCTAAAGTGCTATTGAAATTGTAAGTAAGTGAAATTGGTGCGTCAGAGAAAGGAGACATGCAAAATGTGCAGTTTTGGGGTGCCTCCAGGACCAGGGTTGGGAACCACTGGTCTAGCATATGGTCTGCTCGTGTGTAGACTCAGACTGCACACCCACAGACCAGCCGTGGACTCATTACAGGCCGTCTGACGCATGCTACACACAAAAATAGAAAGATTGTTGCCAAAATTGTAAGCTAGAATCTTAGTGCACTTTCTGGAAATCAGAGTGGATGCATTCTTATCTATTCATCAGGAAACAATATATACTTAAATATATATTTATGAAATGCTGAAATGCAGAATGCAATGTAATTTGAATTTGAAAGTATGTTAGTTTAATTGAAAGAAATTAATATACATGAAAAAGCAACTAGAAAAGCAAAGTTTGTCAATACATTATTTATTTACTTATTATACAGTATATATATTTATTAAGACATTAATTCTTTGTCAAGGTATTTTATTGTAAAAATTTTTGTGGACCAAGGTGGAAAAACACTCTACCCAGAACGCACCTGTGCTGAATTAGTTTTTTATTTCAATTAATTCAATTCAAATTTAAATGCAATTCCTCTTCCTGTCATTTCAGTTCAACTTCACCAATTTAACTTACAACTATTACAACTTTTGCACTGATGATGAAGCAAATGCATGGTTTAACTAAAATACAATCAAGGCAAAATCAGTAACTTGCAATGTGTCTATGCCTTTGCCTTAAAATGTGCTAAAACTAATGCTATATATATATATCCACACACTGTAAATCTTTTCAAAGTTGTAAATAAAACAAAGATTACTGGAGTATGTTCTACAAGAAAATACTATTTCAGTTTTTCAACTTTAAAATTTCATGTTTAATTCAGTGTGTTACTTGCTGTTTCTTTGTAATCATTTGTGGAATTTGCTAGCAGTTTCTGAGTGAACATTATTTCAAAGTAAATATTTTCCAGTGCATGCCTAAAACACAGAAAATAAAGGTAAAAGTAAAGGTCTCTAAAGCATAAAAAGTTCAAAACACTCATTCTTAAACAGTAACAAATTGAAGTACTCATTATAATTATATTTTTGAATAGGAAATGACAAAATTGCTTAAATTTAAATAACATTTTTGTCCCAAAAATTTAAAATGCTTGCATTATTCTTGAGGTCAGATGGCACTAAATGAACAGGTTTTGCTCGAGAAAAAAAAAGCTGCAAAGTGGGACAGACATGCTTGACAGTCAAAAGTCTGGCTGTGCATGACTAACTCATGTGTATCATACAGCCCTCTATACTCTACAGAGCCAAGCTGACAAACAAACACAAAAGCAATGGCTTAAATTAGCCCCTCATACTGAACAAACCCCTTCAAACAGGAGGGCTTTTCCAGAGATGTATGGTTGCTGGATTACCACAAATTGAGACTAGGCTGTTATATCCTCAAAGGACACTTGAGCTTCAATTAGTACAGTCAAACATTGTAGTCTCCCAGGGTGAACCAACTCCATTATAATGCAGAGCTTGCCCTGACTTTCCATTATGATTCAGGTATAAAAATATAGATGGCCTGTCTCAGCTTTCATATTAGATTAGAGTTCAGAAAGATTGCTATTCAAGAATGGTGATAAGTACAGCAAAACAACTCCTCAAGGTCTTTGACTTTGCTTCTAATCCTAGTGAAGAATTACTCTTGCAATATCTTCACCAAAACAAACTGACTTCAACAACTCAGGAGGGACATAGTATTCAAAGTATGTATTTTGTACATTATTTTCATCTTAAATGTTAACATTTTCTGCTATTTTAGAGTAAATTCTATTAAAATGTATGATCATGCAATACTGACTACATTAGGGGGAAAAAACTCAAGACAAAAGCTACAACAATAAACTGTGTAAAAATGAACACTGCTGAACAAGAAGTCCCCTGACATCTTCCGATAAAATCAAAAGTTTTGCAGAACTGTTTTACTAGACACGACTGGCCGTTGCTTAAGTGTTCTGGCCGGTTATAACACGCCTTTCATGTATATTACTGCACAAACAATGCAATATGAATTACGTCTCAATGTGAAGTATATGGGCTGAACAATTAATAATCAAATAAAACCAAAATCGCAAAGGTTGTGATGAATATATGTACTGCGTGTTTCAGAGTGAAGTGCAGCACTATTTTCTTTTACACATGAGTAGCTCATAATCCAGTGGTTTCAGCGGCTCAGAGCAGCTCGGTTTGCAGTAAATGCTGCTCCACACAAACTTATCTCTGCTCTGAGTTTGGGTCGCTTTAATGTCATTTGGGAACATGACGTGCCAACCATCTTCCCAAATCTATAATGAGAAGCACTTACAAACCAGCTGTTGTCAGAAGCTTTGGAAATGGCTCCCTGTGGTTTTCCACCAGAATAAATGCTCCATAATTTAATGTGTGAAAATGAAGAAATGAAGACAGCCAGAAATATTAGCATTGAAACTTTACAGTTGTACTGTAAATTATTTTATTAATTCTCGATTTTTTTTATTTTACATCAAAACAGTCATATGTTTTTTTTCTTAATATTTTTATTTAGTAATACTACCACTACTAATTATTATTATTATATAATTACTTAAAAAGGGCCAAATTGTGCAGCCCTACAAACTTTAATAACAAAATAATTTACCCGAATAACAATTATAATTTTAATCAGAGTAATCGCAATTAGATTTTCCCTAAATTGTGCAGCCCTATACAGAATTAAGGGGTTGTTCACATCCCTAAACCTAAAATGCAGAAAACAAAAGAATATATTTTTAAGAATGCTAAACACTGAACCCCACTGACTTTCATGCACTGACAACAAAAATCACTGAACATTTTTTCAAAATATCTTCTTTTGTATTCCTCAGAAGTAAATCATGCAGGTTTTTAAAATGAAATAAGGGCGAGCAAATGACAGAATTTTTAGTTTTGCATGAACCATCCTTTTAACAAACATCACTAAAGTTCAGCCCTTCATTGCATCCTGTACAACTGCAACTCATAAACACTTACCAAGACATCACTCTGTCACTTGTCTCGCTCTCTTCTCTGTATTTCTTCATTTGTCCAACCCAGTAATAGAAGGACACATGCTCAAGAGCGTAATCCTCTTGCTGGCGTGTTGTTGTAAGCACCTGGATTACACTGTGTGTACGTGTCTATCGCTCTACTGTCTCATCTTTGATTTGAACGTGTCTCTAGGTTTGAGCCACCCCCAAAACACATGCACGTTTCAAATCACCACATGCATCAGCCGTAAGCATCGCAATTTCAAGCTATTAAAGGTGGGGGATGCATGCGAAAGCAATAAGAGCGTAAAACCCTAAAGGGATTTGCCATACAGGGTAATTAGAGCTAGCGTTTGGGGAATACCACACCCCCACCCTCCTTCCTTCTCCACGTCCTTCAGATTTCCAGCGATATGGGGCAGGAAACGTCTCTCAGCCTTCCAGTGTGACTCACTCCAAAGCGGCCACACTCGCCCCCACATGCACCCTGAAATTACAGTCATGCACCGTCCACAATGACCAAAACTGTTTGCATGCACAATCAGATGGATAGCCAGACTTACTTCACACCCTACAGCCGTCGCGATGGATTCCTATGCAGTGGCCATAACGTGCGTTTTCCATGGAGCTCTTGTGCACCGATTCAGCTTCCCTCTCCTCGTCCCGTTCTTCCGTCTATCCACCCACCCACGCAGGATTTTTTTTCTCGGGGAGCGTTTCCTCACATTAGTAGGATGCGCAGATGCGCTCACGGTCTGTGTGCAAACCGCGCACGGGCAGATCCTCTTTAATGAGGCGTGAGAGATTAAACCGTCACCTCGACCGTAGCTCTCCAGCGCGGCGGCAGCGTGATAGTCAGCGCAACGGGGAGTCTAGGGGAGAGTCTGATTTGTATTCAGACTCGTCCCTCCCTCTTGCTCAGGATTCAGGTAACAGTGTGAGATGTAGTGAATGTAGGTTAATGTTATATTGAAAGTGATCTGCTGTGTGGGTCAAGCGTGCCAAAGCCTCTACAATGTCTAAAACAAATAGCAGCAGCATTGCACTCATTAGTGATGCTTGCATCAGTATTGATATTAGTAATGCATACCGGATAGTCTAATGACCCACATAAGAAATGACGGCCAGTAATTGGGAAGGGATCATATTATTGGTTGCCAAAGGCTGCAGTGTTAAACAACGGAATTAATCAAACTGGCGATAGCAGTTGTCCTAATTGAATCAGAACTCCACAAAGTCTCCACACAACTTTCCCTTAGAAATGACTGACTTCTGGTCTTTCATTTGTCGCAGATGTGGCTTGATTAAGAAATTGACTCAAAAAGGAAAATTCTGGGGTTCCTTTAAGGATGTGCTCCTTTGACATTAGCCAGTGACTATCTTTCACAAAGCCAGAACACCCTAACAACCATCCCAAACACCATGGCAACCACCAATCATCCAGAACACTGTGACAACCACCTAACAACACCCTAGCAACATTCCAAAACACCCTTACACCATAGCAACCATTCAGAAAACTGTGACAAACACCAACGCCCTAGCAGCCATCCAAATCACCATGACAACCATCTAGCAATGCCCTATTAGCCATCCAGAACACCTGAACAACCACCTAGCAACCATCCAGAAAAACCCAACAACAACTTAGCAAAGCCCAAGCAATCATACAGAGCACCATAACAACCATATAGCAATGCCCTATCAACCATTCAGAACACCCTGACAACCACCTAGCAACCATCCAGAACACCCTAACAACCACCTAGTAAAGCCCAAACAACCATCCAGAACACCCGAACAACCACCTAGCAACCATCCAGAAAAACCTAACAACTTAGCAATGCCCATGCAACAATTCAGTATACCCTAACAACCACTTAGCAATGCCCTAGCAACCATTCATCCAGAACACCCTGACAACCATCTAGCGATGCCCTAGAAACCATGCAGAATACCATGACAACCACCTAGCAACCATCCAGAACACTGTGACAATCACCTAACAACAGCCTAGCAACATTCCAGGACACCCTAAAAACCATATAGCAACGCCCTTGGAAACACCCAGAACACCATGACAACCACCTAGCAACCATTCAGAAAACTGTGACAACAACCTAACCAAACCCTAACACCAATGCAACCATTCAGATCACTGTGACAACCACCTAGCAACACCCTAGCAGTCATCCAGAACACCTGATAACCATCTAGCAATGCCTTAGCAGCCATCCCGAACACCCTGACAACCACCTAGCAATGCCCAAGCATGCATCTGTAACACCTTTTCAGCTAACTTAGCAATAGGTTTTGCTGGGCAAGCATCATTCACATATCCTTCAGAAAATGTCGACATTTATTTAGAGACAAAAATGCCAACTGTTTAAATTAAAACCCCTTCTGTATATTTCTTTAATGTTAGAAGCAAATAGCAAAGAGATCACTGACTGGAGTAAATGCAAATGAAACCTGAACTAAAGCATCTTGCATGTCTCAGGGGTGAGTTATGTGCATTAAAGCAGTCCATCGGGTGCAAATGTGACTTAACCTTTACTTCTAGTGTGTGTGTGTGTGTGTGTGTTACTGGACAGCTCTGCTTAACGCTCGTCAGGCTGCAGTCCCTTGAGTCCTGCATTCAGTCAGGCAGTGCTGCTCACACTTGATAGGGGTCGGAGAAAGAGAAAAATCAATAAAGACCTTGAATGCCTCCTATTTCTAATATGCATGTCAGCTGCGTACAAGCAAACAATTGTATTATATTTTTTAAGGCCTGAAGGATTAATAAAAAAAAATCACAAAAAGGGCAAAATCATGAATATTTAATGTTATTAGAAAGTGAACCAGTTCAGATCATTAATGTTTTTTTATTTTTATTTTTTTTTATAATAAATAATCCGTGTGACATCAGTGGTTCAACCGTAATTTTTACGAAGTTATGAGAATACATTTTGTGTGCAAAGAAAACAAAAATAACAACTTTATTCAACAATTCGTCTCCTCTGCGTCACCCTGTAGCGCCATTTTGGAGAGTGTCACATACGTAAACAACATATGCTTATCTGTGTCAGCAGCACCGTACGCAGATACGTCGTTTATGATGTTTACGCTTTGATCTGAACGTAAACAGCGTATCCATGTACATACATTGGATACGTTGTTTACGTATGTGATACTCTCCAAAATGGCGCCAGGGTGATGCGGAGGAGACGAATTGTTGAATAAAGTTATTTTTGTTTTCTTTGCGCACAAAAAGTATTCTCGGTGTAATGTTACTGGTAGACGTGTTCATAACTTTATATAAACATGAAATCATGAAACCTGAGGAGATTTGCTATTTTTATTTTTAAGACTTACTGTACAATTTGTGCCTGGTGGACATCTACACTTTAAAAAATGCTGGGTTAAATACAACCCAGCGCTGGGCAAAATATGGACAAACCCAGCTATTGGGTTGTTTTGACCCAGTGGTTGGGTTACTACCCAGAAGGTTGAGTTAAACATTTAACCCAACCGCTGAGTCAAAACAACCCAGTTGCTGGGTTTGTCCATATTTCACCCAGTGCTGGGTTGTATTTAACCCAGCATTTTTTAGAGTGCAAAAATACTTACACCGTAACTATATTATTTTGGTGAAACTCACTAACCCCAAACTCAGTTTAACTGCATAAGATTTACACCAGACAATTGCGTTCAACACAGATTTTATGTGCACATATTCACTGTTACATGATTTGCATAATTCCTCCAGTGAATTATAGGTGCTAAAGCAACGCAAACAGCTTATGCAAATGCACAGCACCATCAGCGGGTGCAACTCATTCTTCCCCTCATCTCCCCCACAGTGTAATGCACAACGGGTAAATTAACATCATGTTTCATTAGAGCTCGTTTCAGATGATCTTCAGAAGATAGAAACACGCCTTTCTTTTCTGCCGCCGTGTGGGAAATGATGCATGTTATTCAGCACACCAGATGGAGAACTGATGCAGACTACACTGCTGCCATATGTAAATAAATGGCCTTCCCTTATTAAAATTCATGACAAAAAAAAGGGCATAACCAGCAAACAGTCAGAGCAGACAGGTTGTATTCCTTCAAAAATTTTTGCCAGTAGAGCATAGTGGTGCTAAAATTGCGAGAACAAAAAGTGTCTCCCTGTAAAAGTAATGCATTTCTAAAACACAATATTGCAATTCTATATAGAAACTATAAACCGTAGTATTTTGAATAAGATTTTGTTCTTTAATTATTACTTTTCTGCAAAATAGGAACATAATTCCACTTTAGTCATTTTAAAAGACAACATGTAAACAAAACACATTCCTGTTAACAAATGCTGCTATTTTTTTATCAGTTCCCACCAGGTCAAATAGAGACCTTTTTTTGATCCAGTTCCTGAAGAATAAAACCTAGTATGCCTTACAATTTTTTTCTTCTTAAATAGCCTGCAAAACAAAACAAGAACATTTTCAACACAAACTAAATGAGTGACATTGCATTAAGGAAACAACAGAAGAAACATCTAAACAATCTGAAACATTAGCAGTATCTTTTCTAACTAATGGTTACCGCTCGGTCTTATTAAAGTATTGAATATTTTCATTAAACTGGAATATGCCGTAATTATGGGCATAGAAGTTGCGTTGACCATTTGCATGCACTGGAAAATTTCAATATTATACCAAATATTACAGCATCTTTTGAAATAGAATTATTAACCAGAATATGAACCTTAATTGTATAATGCTGTGACCTTTACACTCTAAAAAATGCTGGGTTAAATACAACCCAGCGCTGGGTAAAATAGGAACAAACCCAGCAATTGGGTTGTTTTGACCCAGCGGTTGGGTTACTACCCAGAAGGTTGGGTTAAACATTTAACCAAACCACTGGGTCAAAACAGCCCAATTGCTGGGTTTGTCCCTATTTTACCCAGCACTGGGTTGTATTTAACCCAGCATTTTTTAGAGTGTAATGTTACTGGTAGACGTGTTCATAACTTTATATAAACATGAAATCATGAAACCTGAGGAGATTTGCTATTTTTATTTTTAAGACTTACTGTACAATTTGTGCCTGGTGGACATCTACACTTTAAAAAATGCTGGGTTAAATACAACCCAGCGCTGGGCAAAATATGGACAAACCCAGCTATTGGGTTGTTTTGACCCAGTGGTTGGGTTACTACCCAGAAGGTTGAGTTAAACATTTAACCCAACCGCTGAGTCAAAACAACCCAGTTGCTGGGTTTGTCCATATTTCACCCCGTGCTGGGTTGTATTTAACCCAGCATTTTTTAGAGTGCAAAAATACTTACACCGTAACTATATTATTTTGGTGAAACTCACTAACCACAAACTCAGTTTAACTGCATAAGATTTACAACAGACAATTGCGTTCAACACAGATTTTATGTGCACATATTCACTGTTACATGATTTGCATAATTCCTCCAGTGAATTATAGGTGCTAAAGCAACGCAAACAGTTTATGCAAATGCACAGCACCATCAGCGGGTGCAACTCATTCTTCCCCTCATCTCCCCCACAGTGTAATGTACAACGGGTAAATTAACATCATGTTTCATTAGAGCTCGTTTCAGAAGATCTTCAGAAGATAGAAACACGCCTTTCTTTTCTGCCGCCGTGTGGGAAATGATGCATGTTATTCAGCACACCAGATGGAGAACTGATGCAGACTACACTGCTGCCATATGTAAATAAATGGCCTTCCCTTATTAAAATTCATGACAAAAAAAAGGGCATAACCAGCAAACAGTCAGAGCAGACAGGTTGTATTCCTTCAAAAAGTTTTGCCAGTAGAGCATAGTGGTGCTAAAA